AGAGCCTGGTAGAACCATTGAGACTATGGCCCCTAGCTGCCCGTCAGGTGTGTAATTGAACCCATACCTGTGGCTTCCCTCCAAGCAAAAGACAGGCATAGGAGTTGAACATTAACCTGAGGTAGACACACTTCTTGGAGAGAAAAATCATGGGAGAAAGAAGGGCTGCTTATGCACTGGGAGACAGCACAGGGGGAAGGAGGGCATGGAGGGATGGAGAGAGGGAAGAGGTAATTATCAGGAGGAAGTAGGAGGGGAGCTGTTGCATTGTGTTAAATTGTGATCAATATCATGAGACAAAGTGTATGTGAACTGCTGTATGGAAAGTGAATTGGCTCTGTAAATTTTCACCCAAATCACAATTAAAAAAATAAACAAAAAATAAACTAAACCAATCGATATGCTTTCTACAAGAGACACACCTTAGAGACAAAGACAAAAACAGACTTAAAATCAAAGGCTGGAAAAAGACGTAGTAAGCAAATGGCAACCAAAAAGGAGCAGGAGTGGCAATATTCATTTCTGATCAAATTGACTTTAAGACAAAAACCACCATACGAGACAAGGAAGGACACTATATAATCATTAAAGGATCAACTGAACAAGAAGATATAACCATAATGAATATCTATGGACTCAGTGAAAGAGCCCCAAAATACATAAATCAGACTTTAAAAGGGAGACTTTAATATACTACTTTCAATGAAAGATAGAACAACTGGAAAGAAATTCAACAAAGACGTAGAAGAACTAAACAATATAATCCACCAACTTGGCCTTATAGACATCTACAGAGCACTTACCCAGCAACAGCACAATATACATTCGTTTCCAGTGCATACGGAACATTTTCCATGATAGACCATATCATATGTTAGGCCATAAAGCAAGCCTTAATAAATGTAAAAACATTTAAATACTGCAAAGCATCTTCTTAGGTCACAATGCTATGAAATTAGAAATCGACAATAGGAAGATCAATGGAAAAAGAGCAAACACATGGAAACTGAACAACACCCTCCTTAAGAAAGACTGAATAATAGAAAAAATAAAAAGTAAATTTCAAAAATTCCTTGACTCAAATGAGAATGAAAACACAACATACCAAAATCTTTGGGACACAGCAAAAGCAGTAATCAGAGGCCAATTTATAGCAATAAATGCACACACCAAAAAAAAGAAAGAGTCAAAATTAACACTTTAAACCAACATATCTAACAATTAGAAAAAGAACAGCAAGAAAAACCCAGTTACCAGAAGAAAGGAAATAACAAAGATTAGAGCAGAAATCAATGAAAAAGAAAATAGCAAGATAATATAAAAAATCAACAAGACTAGAAAGATTGTTTTTTGAAAAGATTACTAAAATTGACAAACCATTGGCAAATTTAACAAAGGAAAAGAGGAAGAGAATACAAATAACACGAATAAGAAACAAAATGGGTGACATCACAACAGAACAAAGAGAAACAAAAAGGATAATATCAGGATACTATGAAGAACTGTACTCCAACAAATTTGAAACTCTGGGAAGAAATGGACAGATTTCTAGAAACACACCACTTACCTATACTAACACAGACTGATGGAGAAAAACTGAACAGATCTGATGGCATCAGCCATCAGAGAGATGCAAATAAAAATAATAATGAGATACCATCTTGCCCCAGCACTAGTAACACAGTTCAACAAGACAGAAGATAACAAACGCTGGTGAGGAGGTGGAGAGACTGGAACACTCATACACTGCTGGTGGGACTGTCAAGTGATACAACC